CATAAGTTTTTGGAATTTATTTGAAAAATTTGTGCAAACAATTAGACGCAAGTTGGGGCCTGACAACATGTAGAGTTGTTACAAGGAGGCTTTTTCGTATAACATGCAAAAAATCCGAATGTTTTCCCGAGCAAATGTGAGAATATTTCTTGGACTATAACCTCGACGCCAGCGCCACCTTTCTTGGCTGGAAATTTGGTGGAACTATAAATATTGAAAGAATGTCGACAAGGCATATCAGGAATGTCAGGAATGTGCCGACGATTTCGTTTGTTTACATTACGAAATCTGACTGATGATCTTCCCGATATTGAGGCAGTTCGGTGATCATAGATACATAACACAGCCTCAATAAAGGAAGTATTTCTTTCATCAGTTTGACTAGAAATGAATTTCAGGATAATAAAAAAATGTATAGTTACAAAAATGTTTATTGAACAGTCCCAGCAACAATAGAACAAATTCTTCATTACAGTACATTGTACATACCAAGAAGTATTCTACCCATCTGGATTTTTCTCTATATTAAGAAACTAATCAGTGTAATATTATGCAAGCACTATGCCTTTTTAATTGATCATGTATATTTATTGCGGAAACATAAATACTAAAATAACAAAATATACATCTGTAGTTAAAGGACTGACTGTAGTACAAATATAACCTTTCTGATAAATGTGAATCTAAACAATTTTGCACACAATGTTAATGGGTGAAAGCAAACAAATTGTCCTCAAAAAAAATGTTTCTTCAAACTAGGAAAGAAACTCCTGATGACATTGACAATTAATTTGGTATCGATAAAATGAATGATGATCTTCATTCCAACTGTCTCCTCCAAGGATGGTGACACTGTGAAACAAAAAAAAAATATTGGCATAATATCACTGGTCAGCTAACAGTAAACAGAAACATAGTCATCGCACCTCAGATGATACTCTTCTTCAGATGATACTGCTCTCTCCATATGTATAAATTCTCAATCTAGCAGTATATATTTGATTGCCAAAATTCTCAGTCAGAGAAAGCATGTATGTGTCAACAATTTTTCATTGGCGATACCAAACACCAGTGCTTAATTTGGTCCTGGGCTTTACCAGATTTGTTATTACCAACAGTACAGATGTCACAAAAAAGAAGTTACGTGCTACCCATCTGTTCACGTCAATAAACATCAAAAGAAATTACATATTTGGTGGGCTGCGAATAAACAGCATTGGCCAGGTGTACACCTGGTTCATAGTTCCTGACAAAGTACCTTCACACTGTTCTGTTAGGTTTTGGAAAAACATGGCATGTGGGGGCTTGGTATAGATTTAAACTCTCTTGGTACAGTCTCAGACATGAACATGTTTGTATTTATCAACTTTGAAGTCAGTACTACAAGCACAAACTTTTAAGATCATATCTTAATCCATTCCATCTTTTTTTTCGATTTCTAGAATATAACTTCAACATCCTCTATCTTGGTAAGGGGGCAATTTAGGACCCTTGTTAATTTTTTTCATGCTTTTTTTATCTACTTTATACTGTAGCAATACTGATATGTTTTGCTGAAATCACCGCTATACGCACTTTGTTACCGTATGACCTAAATATGACCACTGACTTTATTTATTATAATTTTCAACATACATCTCTGATTTTTTTTATCAAGCCGCCTCGATGTTCAGCTCTACACTGCCATCCGTAAGCAAGGGCAAATCACTTTTCCTACAAGCACAACTATCACCAAACCATCTGCCCATAGAGCGATATAAAATCGATATAAATATCGACTATCGACGTTGGTACAGTGTGGATGGCTCGTACCCATCTTCGAATTCCAGCTGTAGCGATTAGCTGACCAACGCTACTGATCAGATTGGTTAGTTATTAAGATAAAGTTTAATATATTGAACTTTATTTTAAGAAGTGACCTTGAATTAAGAAAATGACCATAAGCTCAATATATTTAGTGATTTATTCAAAAACGTACTGATTTGGATACTTACTACAACGTCATCATTAGGCGCTCCTCTGGCGATGTCCGATTGCGTTCAGGTGCCTTCTGCAGGTACCTCTTCACTAAGGTTAGGTGTTAATGCCAGCGCGGCTTTTCATTTTTTTGCTCTAGACATGGCCATCCTCAATTAATCGCACAAAAAACAAGTTTAATACAGAAAAACACAGGCGAAAATGAACACCAAACCAATTTTTCCGCAAATTCGCCAACAGCTCAAACAAAAACAACGAGACGCCACAGAATCATTATAATTACATCAATACGAGCATAAAACAGCATGGAAAGAGATATCCAAGGGTAAGACGAGTTCGGAAACCACCCGAATCATGTCAAAAAATGGATGTGACGTCACCAAAACGTTTGACCACCTCTGGAAATCACTATCTAGTTACCCTCTGGCGGCGTAACAAGTGGAGGACATTGGTGTAGAAACAGCTCATCCTTGAATTAGGTTACGTTAAGTCGTGCTTGAACCTACCATAAGTGTAGGCCTTGAATGTAAACTAACTTAAGCAAAATGCTGCTGGCGTCTTTCAGGAATGTAGAACTTGCATCGCTACAAATTTTTTCGTGAATGAATACAATCCACGAGCCAGATGGTTTCGACCACCGCGGCAAGCAAGACATTTGTTCAATATGGTCTCTTTTTCACAGGCTTTTTGATTAATTTGTGCCATTGTAGAGCTCAACCTCAACTGAAACCGTATACTGGACTGGTGCAACAACAGCTAAAAGGCTTATGCTTATTCCTTAAGATGATTTGTCACACATACTAAATAGTATAAAAAGATTTAACAAACAAATTTTGGATCACGAAGTGGAGCAATTGGAGTTTCGCTAAGGCGAGCTTCATATCGTCGCACAAAAAAGTTTTACAGTCTAAGAAATGAAATTGGTTTTAAAACATCCTTTTCAATAAATAGTAAATAATATTTAATGATCTACCTGTTTTTTATTATGTCTTTTTGAAGCCGCACTAAAGACCTCACAACCGTGTTAATATGTCATGTTTTTAAAACGTCTTTGAAATATAATTGTGCTATCTGGGTATGCAATGCTCAAAGACCGGACACGCCCATTGAGCAAAAATTAGCCTTATGGTCACTGTAAAACATCCACATCGCGAAATGCCTGTTATGGCTCTTATGAAAACCCCATCGACGCGACGTGTTCGTTTTGGCAGGCACAGAAAGACCACATAGCATAATTCGAGTCGCGGCTGTCATATCATATGACTAAAACGCATGAAGGTAACGAAGAAAAGCCATGAGGTGTTCTGAGCACTAGTTGCCAGTGATGCTTAGGGATGCCACAATGAGTGACAAAAAAATCGTTCAATTGAAAATAAGATTTTTTCTTTTTTAATATTAATTCATATGTGAAAAATGAATTATTCTGGAAAAACCGACATGCATGAACAACAAGGCCAAGACTTAAGAAAATCGGTCCAAGGATCTATGAGGTATTAACTAAAAAATATTGTCCTTAACTTTGATACCCTGTATTTTGGAAACTATGCTTCTTGGGACACATGCTTATATGAACTCTTGTACTTAAATTTGGGCATGTTATCCAAATTTAACTTTAAGGCCGTACGCAGAATATTACACGGCTTAGTTTTGTAACAAAAGAGGAATGTATGCTTGCAATTAAAATTATTTTGGGCCTCAAATTGCTTATTTGAACAATTAGCATCGTCAGCGTATCTATGCAGCCTCCCCTTAATCTCAGTTGGAGTAAGAACATCATTTTACTTAGTTCATGCTGAACAACTCTTTATAATGATACTTTCTACAAAATTGTAGTGTAGCAAGTCCAGCTAAAAATAAAAAAGTAAGTCTCCCTCAATATCGTGTTAGTTCTAGCGAGACTAATCAAATGAAACAGCAACGTCGAAAAAACATGCATTTATCATAATGTCGTAGCTGTTTGGACAGCAATCCATCTTGGTTTGCTAGTTGAATATTTCTCTTTGCACAGCGCGTTTTTTTTCATTTTCTGGTCCGAGATGAAAAACGACGTAACGTTGACTGACGTAACTGAAAATTATCCTACGGTTCTCTTTATGGTTCATTCCGTATTACCTTTAGTCTAATTAAACAACATAAATTATAAAAATTCTCTAGCTATTTTAGCAGGTGTCCTTTGTGTTAAATGTTTAATTGTCTTACCCAGATGTTATGCTTCCCTGAAAAATGGCTCCAAGTAGGTTGACTCTGCACTTCCCACGCAACGTTACCATCAATTCGAAAGGAGTATGTTCAGGTCAAGTTGGCCCCTATCGGAAAAAAGACAGTTACAAACATGTATAACAAAAAAATATAAGTGGATCAAGTCAGCCAAACAGTTCCATACTATTAGTCCATAGTCCCCACACATATGACAACGTACCGATCTAGAAATTTCTCTCCAGCCATACTGACAGTCTGGCTACATGTGGGATCTTTAAAATTGGATATCTTGCATGGTGTGTACAATTTTGGGAATTGTTAGGATTTGAACCCTTCGTTTTTCCAAGAAAATTTGCTACACCTCGCATTTCAAAAAGTTTCTAGGATAAATACAATTCTCATCTTCAAAAAGTTTTGGGGGCACGTACACTTTTACAAGATGATCGGTCGAATCGCGACACATGAAGTGTATGTCCAGAGATATGTGCGTAGAATTACTAGGCTTGGAAGCGTACCATAATAATAATCATACATTGTTGATGGTATCAAGCAATTCAGAAAAATACAAACTGTAACATAGTCAAGATCACACATCGAAATAACGATTTTGAAACAAAAAATACCTGCACCACTAAGGCCCTGTTTTGCTATTGACCCGCGGAATCTAAAATCTTGATCCGGATCATAATAGACCAATGAGAAAAAAATGTACGAGTTGTGAAAGAAGGAGAATCCTAATACATATAATAATCCGACATCGAGACTATCTGGATGAAACTGTATTATTCTTCAGTCCGGTCCACTAGAACACATATTGTAGAATGCGATTCGGTAACGAAGCGGGCCACCTGTGAAAAGTAACATGGATCCCCATCTCCAGACCCTGAGCTATACGAATATCTCATTATGCTTTTTGGTGCGAAGGAGTGTGGTCGCCTCTTGTTTACCTTTTTTGCGTGTTCACAATGTCGTCAAATAGGAAACGTGTGATTATAATTAAAGAAAAGTTGAAGAAATTAGAGGAAATGCTACAGGACGTCTCTACAAGTAAGTACGATGTTTATTATTGTTTTGTGTATCAGGGAAACGCGGTTATGGTGAAAATGGCCTTAGGCGTCATCTACCGACATGATGAATTTGTTTTTAAATGATTTGTAGGCGAAATTTAGCATTCTACTACTTGAAGGTTAATTTCTCGTACAAAACGGCCTTACTCACCGTTTGATTCATCATGATAAAAATATGTTATTATCTAAAATGGCTTTACTCGCCATACATATGTATATGTATAACAGTTTTTTGTAAGTTACTGCTTTTAGTAAATATCCCACATACCATTATGAGTCGAGGTAATTTGCTGTCTTTGCAAAATTACTAAGCAGAGTTTGAATAGCCTTTCTCGCTATTTAGACATATTGAATTAAAAATGAAAAACTGGCATTCTTGTTTCTTAGGTGGGAGTGACCAGGATATAGAACCCCGTAGAAAGAGAATTCGCCGCATAAGTGTTTCCTCATCAGATTCGGTTCACAGCGATGTTAAACAGGGTAATATCGTAGAGGTCGATGTTCACATAGAAGCAGAACTTTCTCCAATACTCTCTGATAAAATAGATAGTATAAATAAAATACTGGGAACTGATCCATCCATGCCTAAGGTTATGGGCAAGCCAGTGAGTGATCAGGTGGCCTCTAGGCTAAATTATTACGCAACCAATGGGATGTCTAGCGATGAAAAAGAAAAAATAAGACTCGAGTGGCCAACACCTGAAAACTGCCTCTCTTTCAACTCACCTACCTTAAATCCAGAGATTTTAGCACTTCTTTCGCCTACCGATCAGAAAAAAGATTCCTTTATGTGTCATATTCAAAATGACATAGCTGGAAGCTTAAGTGCTTTATCATCAGTGATAAGCAAACTGTTAGATATAGCAGACCTCCCTAATGTTGTAAAAGAAATAATACCTGATCTAATGACAGCAGGAAAACTTCAGTGCAACGCCCATTTTCAGTTATCAATGCATCGCAGACATCAAGTCTATCCTCTTTTAAAATCTGACATGCAAAAACTAGCCAAAGAATCTAAAATGGATAATTTTCTCTTTGGAAAAACGTTCATGGAGAAATGTAAAATTAATCAACCTATAAATAAATCTGCAGTAGAGCTGCAGGTGAGTAAAGTTCCTGCAAGCAGCCAAATCTTAAATAGGAGCCATTTAAACTGGCAGCGCCCCAAAACATCTGTACGTTTTCGGAATAGTCAGTTTGTACTAAACAAGAGAAAGGAGCCTCGAATACAAGAGAGAAACAGAAATCAATGGAGATCATCGAGAGGGAACCTAGCCAGATACAATTACCGAAACCGACAAATTCAGTAGAGGTAAATGTTAACAATATTGCTTTATTTGCCGGTAGACTAAAGTATTTTCAAAAATCTTGGAAATCTATAACGAATGACAGATTTATTCTGAGCTGTATAACTGGCTACCGTTTACCATATTTCCATACTCCTAAACAGTTAGTCCTGCCAAAAACCAAAAGTTACAGTAAAATAGAATTTAAGAATCTTAAAGAAACAATCAATAAATTAGAAGCAATAGGCGCAATCGCGCAATCAATAAATGCCAACCGTGTAAAAATCAATTTCTATCTTCATATTTTTTAGTACAGAAACCAGACGGAAATCAGAGATTTGTTATAAATCTAAAACAATTAAGCAAATATGTAACAATCCAACACTTTAAAATGTAAAATTATAAAATTGTTAAAAATATAATTACCAACAGAGTATATATGGCCTCTCTAGACTTAAAGGACGCCTATTTCTGTATACCGATTTACAAAAAACATAGGAAATATTTAAGATTTACGTTTAACAGGGTTTTGTACGAATTCTCTTGCTTACCGTTCGGCCTCTGCTCTGCCCCTTATATTTTTACCAAACTATTAAAACCAGTTATTTCATTCTTACGAAACAAATGTTTTTATTCAGTTAATTATTTAGACGATTTATTATTGTTAGGGCATAGTATAGATCAGTGTCGGACGAATATAACCGTAACCACTTCACTCTTAGAATCCTTGGGTTTTGTTGTAAATTACAAAAAGAGCCAATTAATACCCAGTAATATTTGCAAATTTTTAGGTTTTCTTTATGATAGCATAAACATGTGCATGACACTGCCAGCTAGCAAAAGACATGATATAGTTTAATAGTTGTAAAATAAGAGAGTTTGCAAGACTTTTAGGATACCTTATCTCGATTTGTCCTGCTATAAAATACGGTCTTATGCACACAAAATGCTTAGAAAGATATAAATATCTAGCATTGAAAAATTCGAATAACAATTATAACTCGCAAATGATAATAACACTCAAAATGAAAAGAGAATTAAATTGGTGGATGACAAAATCACTTGTCTCGCTTAGGCCTCAGGATTATAAAGTGGTAATTTACTCCGACGCTTCAAATGTCGGATGGGGAGCCTCGGCAGGTCCAGAATCTACCCAGGGTTTTTGGAGTTAACAGGAATCTATAATTTCATATTAATTACCTTGAATTGCTAGCAGCCTATAATGCTCTAAGATGTTTTGCAAGAGACCTTAAAGACTGCTCCATTTTGTTAAAAGTTGACAATACCACCGCCATATCCTACATTAATCGTATGGGAGGTGTAAAATATAAGAAATTGTCTGAGTTGTCGAAAGCAATCTGGCAGTGGTGTGAGTCTAAAAATATATTTTTGCAACTTATATTGAATCCTCTCGTAATGTGGTAGCTGATTTTGAATCAAGGTCGCTTAATTCAGAAACTGAATACGAGTTAAACTCTTTAGCTTTTAAGAAAATTGTTCACACTTTTGGCCTTCCTAACATCGATCTGTTCGCATCCCAGCTAAACAATAAATGTAAACAATTTATTTCCTGGAAAAAAGATCCGAAATCAATAGCTGTTGATGCTTTTACGATAAGTTGGTCAAATATATTTTTCTATGCATTCCCTCCTTTTTCTTTGATAATGAGAACGTTGAATAAAATTATCAAAGATGAGGAGGAGGGGATAATGGTGGTCCCTCTGTGGAGGGCACAACCTTGGTACCCAATTATCAATAAGATTCTCAAGTCAAAATTGGTTTATTTAACTCCTAATAGAAATCTTTTATTATCTCCAAATAGGGAACCACATCCGCTTTGGCCAAAGCTTACCCTGGTGTCAGGAATTTTATCAGGGAAGCTCTTGCTCCAAGAAGACTGACGGAATCAGCTTTAGAAGTAGTTATCTCTTCATTAAATCCTAATACACTGAAACAATACAATACCGCCTATAAAAAATGGTGGGAATTTTGCATCCGTAGAGCAGTAGACTGCTTTAATCCCTCAACAGCAGATTTCGTTGATTTTCTAGATAATAGTTTTAAGGAGGGTGCTAGTTATACAACACATTTAAGATCAAACCTGTGTTCCCAAAATATCAAGCAACTTGGGACCCAAATCCCGTAATTGCATATTTGTCATCTTTACACCCCCTTTCTTCCCTAAGCTTTGCAGACCTAACCTATAAGCTGGTTATGCTGTTCGCCTTAGGCACAGCACAAAGATTACAAATTTTTTCAAAAATTAAAATAGATAATATTTATCAAAGAACTGACTTCATAGAGATTTTAATACCGGATATCCTAAAAACATCAGGCCACGGTAGGATCCAACCTAGACTGAGACCCCAGAGCTATGTCTATCTAGCACATTGATAGAATATTTAAGTAGCAGTCAGAACATAAGAAATAGTATACCGGAGTTATTTTTGACCATTAAAAAACCGTACCATCCAGCCTCGACTCAAACTCTTTCCAGGTACATTCTCTGGATACAGTACTAGGCATGCAGCTGTTTCTGCAGCCTACAGATCAGGTACTAACATTGAAACTATAAGAGCCACAGTAGGCTGGTCAGAACGGTCCAACGTGTTTTTTAAGTTTTATAACAGGCCGTTAGATAGTAGTTTTTTCATAAATAGCGTACTAGCTGGTACGGAAAACAAACAACTCAGGTCGTGCAGGGATTAATTACATTACTACCTACTAAAATATTGTGTTAGACTCTAGTTACGTTTGTTGGTCTATAACATATAGATTTAGAATAAGGACGTTTCTATATCGTATGTTCTATTTCTTGTTACGTTGTTGTTATTGTATATAAACTAATTGTTAGTTGTTCTGCCATAATTAATATATAAAAAAAAAAATAAGGAAATATATGAAAAATTTTTGTTCTTACAATTTGTATTAAAATACTTTATATTCAATGCATATCTAATAATTTTATTATTCCTTAATTCCTCTTTATGTTATTACATAATGACATTTGCTAGCTCATTTAGTACTTTAAACATCTACAATATGTGTTCTAGTGGACCGGACTGAAGAATAATTTGAGATTAAACGACTTACCTAGTAAGGAAGTTCAATCGGAATTATTCGAGGTCCGGTCCACTAGAACACATCCCACCCCATCCTAGACGCGTAGTACCGCATACCCAAAAAATAAAATGACTAGCAAATAAAAAGCATAATGAGATATTCGTATAGCTCAGGGTCTGGAGATGGGGATCCATGTTACTTTTCACAGGTGGTCCGCTTCGTTACCGAATCGCATTCTACAATATGTGTTCTAGTGGACCGGACCTCGAATAATTCCGATTGAACTTCCTTACTAGGTAAGTCGTTTAATCTCAAATAGTTCAACTGTATTTCAATTCATAGGTATATTAGAATCTATAATGATGAATTAGAATGACTGAACTTATCATATAAAACAGTTTTAATGATACAAGCAGACTTTATTCCCTTCAATTCTCAGTAATTCCTGATAAGAATTTCAGTGAATTTGATTACATTAGAGGGAATTATGCGGGGTTTATCTAAAAAAAGAGAAATTATTGGGCATTTATAGGAATTATTGGGAAATATTTCTCGTTATTGTACATATTTCAGGGTCTGGTGCACCCCTCGCTGTGTAGTACATTCGACACATTCGCTATATATTGCACATCGGACAGACGTCATATCCCTATTTCTCATAAACTAATCGTAGGACTGTTTGGTCCCACGAAAGCTTTTGTTTGGGAAGGCGAGAAAAATCTTATGATGATTTGGGCGCGGTCCTTTGTGCTTGAATACACACCTACACTTCTCTAAGGTGGAGCTCGACAATAACCAAACGGATATACACTTTATGAGCTTTGGATGCCAGAGTTTATTTTTAGCAATTTCTAGTCGACGAGTAGTAGTAGTAGTTATTGAAATCGAAAAAAAAACCTTAAATTAAATAGGAGGAATTATATTATGCTGGCTGATGTACCGAGCTGTGAAGTCAGATGGTGAAGATTAGATGGCATTTTCTAGTTCTAAACAGCATTCCTCGTAGGGGTGCAATTGAACAGAACGTTTTGTATTTATGCGTAGTAAATTGTTTACTCCAATATGTTCTGTACAAGTAGCCTCGTGGTAAAGTCCGTGTTGAGCAATAAATGTCAAAGTTCTTTGCACTTAAAATAAACCTAAGCAAAAATTAAATCCTACGGCAACTCTGAACGACTCTTAAACAAGGGTCATAAATGTAAGTGTGCCACCGTTCAAGCAAACTGCCGCCGCAGCTGCTGAAACGACATCGTAACAACAAAACAGTAAAAAGAAACCAGAAAGCCTATCTGTTTGATGCATTTGAGCGATATCACCTGAATACATATGACTATATACCTGTATTATCGAAAAATCAGCATGGTTTTCGTAATGGAAAACCAACTATAGCGTCGTATTTTTTCCTTGATGCGTTAGTCAAATGTATAGAGACAGGAGAGTGTCCTGATGGCATCTTGCAAAACTTGACTGATAAAGAATTTATTATGAAAAAAAGCCGTTCTGATATAAATTGTCAACGTTTTCGCCAATTCGAGAAATATTTTTAAAGAATTGACTTTAATCATTAGATCAATTATTTCCAAAACACCTGATTGGTGAATTTTGATCCAGGGATCAAATCAAACGTTAAATATGGGGACAAGAGAGCATTCTCACAGAAATCGTACATTTTTGCTAGTTTGAGGTCTATTACTTCAAATTTGATTCTCGCGGGACACTAGTAGAATCGGGCCGGAGGGAGTGATTCAAAGCAAGGAGAGATAACAGCTCGAAAGCAAATTAATCCCTCATCTCTTCTCCATAATGTCGCTACACTCTAATGCTGCTAAATGGGCTGTTGGAGATTTTGCTCCAAATTCTAACTCAATTCCTATTGACTTCCAAAATAATCGAGACCTACACACGTGCTCTAAATTAACCTCACTGTACTGAACAAACGCTACACGGCTCTTCGGCTCACTGTCGAAAACCTTGTAACATCACGTACCTACTATTTATTTTCTACATGCACCCATGTAGTTTATTCTGTCCAAGCAAACAATGATACTAGGTACCTCCATGTACTGCAAGGATTATTCCTGTGTGCACGCGGCGAATATCGGTGGTTTCAGGTACATATTTATCCACCAGCTGATGCAGGGTAACGGATTTAATCCTGGAATATATAGTCCAGGAATTTTAAGCACAGAATAACGGGAGGGTAGGTGATCTGACATTTAAGACATTTCCAGAGCCGCTCTCAGTTGTAAACTTTCTTCAGAAAATCTGGTTACAAAGAGAGTCACCTTAAGTGCCGCTACGATCAGTGCGAGCATATTTTGAAGGTTATACTGAGTTGTTTATGAGTTTGTGATGGATTTTGTTTAAGATAGTTGTTTTTAATAAAGCAAGTAGATAGTAAGTTTAATTTGAGATTAAACGACTTACCTAGTAAGGAAGTTCAATCGGAATTATTCGAGGTCCGGTCCACTAGAACACATATTGTAGAATGCGATTCGGTAACGAAGCGGGTCACCTGTGAAAAGTAACATGGATCTCCATCTCCAGACCCTGAGCTATACGAATATCTCATTATGCTTTTTATTTGCTAGTCATTTTATTTTTTGGGTATGCGGTACTACACGTCTAGGATGGGCTGGGATGTGTTCTAGTGGACCGGACCTCGAATAATTCCGATTGAACTTCCTTACTAGGTAAGTCGTTTAATCTCAAATTATTCTTCAGTTCGGTCCACTAGAACACATATTGTAGATGTTTAAAGGACTAAATGAGCTAGCAAATGTCTTTATGTAATAACATAAAGAGGAATTAAGGAATAATAAAATTATTAGATATGCATTGAATATAAAGTATTTTAATACAATTTGTGGGAACAAAAATTTTTCATATATTTCCTTAACTTTTTTTTTATATATTAATTATGGCAGAACAACTAACAATTAGTTTATATACAATAACAACAACGTAACAAGAAATAGAACATACGATATAGAAACGTCCATATTCTAAACCTATATATTATAGACCAACAAACGTAACTAGAGTCTAACACAATATTTTAGTAGGTAGTAATGTAATTAATCCCTGCACGACCTGAGTTGTTTGTTTTCCGTACCAGCTAGTACGCTATTTATGAAAAAACTGCTATCTAACGGCCTGTTATAAAACTTAAAAAACACGTTGGACCGGTCTGACTAGCCTACTGTGGCTCTTATAGTTTCAATGTTAGTACCTGATCTGTAGGCTGCAGAAACAGCTGCATGCCTAGTACTGTATCCAGAGAATGTACCAGTATTTATTCCATCCAGGCCTAGAATTTTCTTTAATCACCTGGAAAGAGTTTGAGTCGAGGCTGGATGGTACGGTTTTTTAATGGTCAAAAATAACTCCGGTATACTATTTCTTATGTTCTGACTGCTACTTAAATATTCTATCAATGTGCTAGATAGACATAGCTCTGGGGTCTCTCTAAAGAAGGGGAGTCTCAGTCTAGGTTGGATCCTACCAGGGCCTGATGTTTTTAGGATATCCGGTATTAAAATCTCTATGAAGTCAGTTCTTTGATAAATATTATCTATTTTAATTTTTGAAAAAGTTTGTAATCTTTGTGCTGTGCCTAAGGCGAACAGCATAACCAGCTTATAGGTTAGGTCTGCAAAGCTTAGGGAAGAAAGGGGGTGTAAAGATGACAAATATGCAATTACGGGATTTGGGTCCCAAGTTGCTTGATATTTTGGGAACACAGGTTTGATCTTAAATACACCTTTCAAGTACCTACTAATAACTTTCTCATCAACTTCCTTATTTATAATTAAATTAAGAGATGACCTAAACGTATTCAGTGTTGTATAACTAGCACCCTCCTTAAAACTATTATCTAGAAAATCAACGAAATCTGCTGTTGAGGGATTAAAGCAGTCTACTGCTCTACGGATGCAAAATTCCCACCATTTTTTATAGGCGGTATTGTATTGTTTCAGTGTATTAGGATTTAATGAAGAGATAACTACTTCTAAAGCTGATTCCGTCAGTCTTCTTGGAGCAAGAGCTTCCCTGATAAAATTCTTGACACCAGGGTAAGCTTTGGCCAAAGCGGATGTGGTTCCCTATTTGGAGATAATAAAAGATTTCTATTAGGAGTTAAATAAACCAATTTTGACTTGAGAATATTATTGAAAAATGGGTACCAAGGTTGTGCCCTCCACAGAGGGACCACCATTATCCCCTCCCCCTCATCTTTGATAATTTTATTCAACGTTCTCATTATCAAAGAAAAAGGAGGGAATGCATAGAAAAATATATTTGACCAACTTATCGTAAAAGCATCAACAGCTATTGATTTCGGATCTTTTTTCCAGGAAATAAATTGTTTACATTTATTGTTTAGCTGGGATGCGAACAGATCGATGTTAGGAAGGCCAAAAGTGTGATCAATTTTCTTAAAAGCTAAAGAGTTTAACTCGTATTCAGTTTCTGAATTAAGCGACCTTGATTCAAAATCAGCTACCACATTACGAGAGGATTCAATATAAGTTGCAAAAATATATTTTTAGACTCACACCACTGCCAGATTGCTTTCGACAACTCAGACAATTTCTTATATTTTACACCTCCCATACGATTAATGTAGGATATAACGGTGGTATTGTCAACTTTTAACAAAATGGAGCAGTCTTTAAGGTCTCTTGCAAAACATCTTAGAGCATTATAGGCTGCTAGCAATTCAAGGTAATTAATATGAAATTTAGATTCCTGTAAACTCCAAAAACCCTGGGTAGATTCTGGACCTGCCGAGGCTCCCCATCCGACATTTGAAGCGTCGGAGTAAATTACCTCAGACTAAAAATATAAATAGACAAATAATTCCCTACAAAATATCGTCGTCAACATAACTGTATTTACGGTAAACAAATATATGCGACGCTGCCACTTCTCCATACTGAAAACTCTATTTAAAATGGAATGAGATATTGGTGTGCACTCCGCCCGAAATGAAGGTGGACTTAAATAAGGTGTGGACGCTCCGGACGATCGTGGGTCGATCAAACAACTGCTCCTAGGCAGTTGTCAACGTCATTTTAAATTTTAAAAATTTATTTTTTCTTTTCTTATTTGTTTATACTCGCAAAAACGGTCACAGAGGTGGCCGACACGCCGTAAATTCAATTCAAAACGGATGCAGGTTCATGTTGGGTAATTCATAGCGAACATTACATATAATATTTTGCCCAGTCAGTTGTTTGACTGGATTTGTTCCACCTTGGACGAAACTTGCTCTCATTCGAAAGTAGCACATTTCTACCGACTTTTTGCCGAACATGGCAACGGTGTTCAACGGCAAGTGGTGGATGCGTACACAGAATTTACAAACATCTGGTGTTTGTTGTTGTGCACAGTGAATTTGTTGCAAGTATTCAAAAATGTTTTCAGGTTGTTTTAGCGGCAATTATAGCATTGTTATCATTGATAGACAATTTTCAAAGACAATGGGACGTCGTAAGTGCATTCTTTGTGGAGTTAGCAGTGAAAAAACTGAGGCAACCTTCCACAGGTGAGTTAGAGGTTAGAGGAGGACAAGGGCGTAGCGCAAGGGGATGCGTTGTGATTTTTAGTATTAAGAAATAGACATTTTATAGTTATTGGTTGTTTTTACACTGTATGTGTGGTGATTTTCAAAAAAACTATTCTGTTTGACACGTTTTTGATCTTTCAGGTTTCCTAGTGATAAGAAAAAACAAGAAGAATCTAAAATGGGTGAATGAAAAGATGAAAGTTAAACTTGCCGTCCAGACTTTGAGCAAGAGTGTTGCAGAAGCATTGGACTTTTTGAACAAAGATCTGGCTATCGCTGACTTCAAGGATTCAGAAGCTACAGCATATTTTTGTAGAACAGTAAACAATTTATTTGATGTTTTTAATTCAAGGAATAGGATGTCAAAAAAACCTTATGAGAAACCGTTGTCACCTGCTACTGAACAATATTTCGATTTCTTAGAAGAAGCGAAGGATTATTTGTAATCGTTAAAATTAGGAGACACTAGCGTTATACTTTCTAGAAGAAAATTAGGATTTTTGGGATTCATAATTTCAATAAACAGCCTGTATGAATATAGAGTCAAAGAAACCAAAGAGCTGAAGTACCTTCTCACATATAAGTTATCTCAAGATCATTTGGAAATTTTCTTCAGTTGTATAAGAAGCAAAGGAGGATACAGCAGTAATCCTACCTCGAAGCAGTTTCAGAATATTTTAAAAAAATTATTACTTCATACTGAAATAAGTGGCAATGAAGCATCCAATGTCGTGGCATTAGATAGCACATCCATTTTGCACTGTTCATCATCATCAGAGATCAAAATTAGTGAGGATATGACCTCATCATCAAACAGTATAGAGGAAGATGAAGATTTTATACAATTTAAAAACTTTCTTCGAATAAGTCCTTGGTAGCTTAAACTGTATTTGGAAGATGTTGTTGCATATGTTGTGAAGAGGTTAAAAAAGTCTATAAAATGCCTGAGTTGTTTAGATTTGTTAGAAACTTCAGGAGAGTCTATATCGAAATTACAAATAAGAAAATCGTATGGAAAATTAGTTTGAGCCTCCGCTTTTGTAATAAATGTGTGTAAATATGAAGAACATTGCTTTAGGTTATATAAGGAAAGGTTAGAAGTTGGCAAAAAAAATATGACAAGTGCTTCACAAATATTAACAAATTATACATTGCAAAACTTACCTCTTGGATTCGGAAATGTGTTTAAGGACCATGTATTCGAAGATGAACCTTTAAGTAATCATTTTAAATTGCTCTGTAAACAAGTTTTAGAACAATATTTTACCATTAAGTTGTACCATTATACCTCTAACTTGAATGCCCCTTCAAAACGTGTACGATCATTACTCACAAAAAGTGTATTATTTCAAAATCAATAAAACCTGATAATTACAAAAACAATAAAAAACAAAATTATAAAATGAATTATAAATAATGACTTAGGGAGAGTGACAAGTCCAAAGGAATTGTTTTACTGAAATATGCACTAAATCTTCAAACATGGATTGACTACTATAAAATAATGTATAAACCTACCCCCAATTTTGACTTTAGCTTTTTAGATGTTTTACATCCATATCTGGATCAGCATATAAACAATACAAGAACTTTTTGACGCGCTAAATGGCTAAAATGGCTATCAGAGTCTACAGAGTACACTAAATCCCCAAGTATACCGATACGTATAAAACGATTTATAATCCAACTTAAGCTCCACAATAAATGTAGTCTCAAAATCTTCCTAAACAATATTTCATACAGGGTTGACCAAACAGACTATTGTACAATATGTAATACTCGAAAGACCGAATCTTTAGGACATCTCCTCCTGGAATGTCCATTATACAATCCATTGAGAGAGCATATTCTGTCAGATCGTTTGAACCAAATCTGTGTCTTTGTTTGCCTAAACAAAAAAGAATGAGTTGAATTTATGATACAAACTTTTTAAATACTTTAGGGAATTATTTAAGCTAAGATCTTTCTTAAGGAATGAATAGTTTTTTGTGCCTTCAATATCAAGACAGAATATTTAAATTGATGCGTCAATTATTTATTCTTTTTCTGTTTGTTTATATATTTTTTTATATACAACTTTTGATCATGGTTACTATCATTTTCTTACTATTTTTTTTTGTATTCATACTCTGTACAGGAAAGTTTCTACTCAATTCTTATTATTTACATAATACTCTCTCTCTTGTTTATATACCTTTGTACTAGGTATTATGAAACAATAAACCTGATAATTAAGTTCCAATAATAAAACCTTGTTTACTTCTCTGTGTTTATTCTTTTCACTGCCATGGAAGGTGATACTGGGTGTATTAACCAGAACACCATTACAAAAAAAGCACCTACGCCACTGGTGGAATCAGCTGTGGTCAGCACATACACAGCTTATTGTTTGTATTTGTTTTGAATTGGGTTTGTTTGTCTTCATGCATTACAGTGCCGTAAGAATGGTAAGTCTATTTATATTTTTAGTCTGAGTAAATTACCACTTTATAATCCTGAGGCCTAAGCGAGACAAGTGATTTTGGAATTGCTGTCATCCACCAATTTAATTCTCTTTTTATTTTGAGTGTTATTATCATTTGCGAGTTATAATTGTTATTCGAATTTTTCAATGCTAGATATTTATATCTTTCTAAGCATTTTGTGTGCATAAGACCGTATTTTATAGCAGGACAAATCGAGATAAGGTATCCTAAAAGTCTTGCAAACTCTCTTATTTTACAATTATTAAACTTAACAAATGTGTCAATTTTCAACAAGGTATCATGTCTTTTGCTAGCTGGCAGTGTCATGCACATGTTTATGCTATCATAAAGAAAACCTAAAAATTTGCAAATATTACTGGGTATTAATTGGCTCTTTTTGTAATTTACAACAAAACCCAAGGATTCTAAGAGTGAAGTGGTTACGGTTACATTCGTCCGACACTGATCTATACTATGCCCTAACAATAACAAATCGTCTAAATAATTAACTGAATAAAAACCTTTGTTTCGTAAGAATGAAATAACTGGTTTTAATAGTTTGGTAAAAATATAAGGGGCAGAGCAGAGGCCGAACGGTAAGCAAGAGAATTCGTACAAAACCTTGTTAAACGTAAATCTTAAATATTTCCTATGTTTTTTGTAAATCGGTATACAGAAATAGGCGTCCTTTAAGTCTAGAGAGGCCATATATACTCTGTTGGTAATTATATTTTTAACAATTTTATAATTTTCCATTTTAAAGAGTTGGATTGTTACATATTTGTTTAATTGTTCTAGATTTATAACAAATCTCTGATTTCCGTCTGGTTTCTGTACTAAAAAATATGAAGATAGAAATTGATTTTTACACGGTTGGCATTTATTGATTGCGCGATTGCGCCTATTGCTTCTAATTTATTGATTGTTTCTTTAAGGTTCTCAAATTCTATTTTACTGTAACTTTTGGTTTTTGGCAAGACTAACTGTTTAGGAGTATGAAAAAATGGTAAACGGTAGCCAGTTATACAACTCAGAATAAATCTGTCATTCGTTATAGATTTCCAAGATTTTTGAAAATACTTTAGTCTACCGGCAAATAAAGCAATATTGTTAACATTTACCTCTACTGAATTTGTCGGTTTCGGTAATTGTATCTGGCTAGGTTCCCTCTCGATGATCTCCATTGATTTCTGTTTCTCTCTTGTATTCGAGGCTCCTTTCTCTTGTTTAGTACAAACTGAATTTTCCGAAAACGTACAGATGTTTTGGGGCGCTGCCAGTTTAAATGGCTCCTATTAAAGATTTGGCTGCTTGCAGGAACTTTACTCACCTGCAGCTCTACTGCAGATTTATTTATAGGTTGATTAATTTTACATTTCTCCATGAATGTTTTTCCAAAGAGAAAATTATCCATTTTAGATTCTTTGGCTAGTTTTTGCATGTCAGATTTTAAAAGAGGATAGACTTGATGTCTGCGATGCATTGATAACTGAAAATGGGCGTTGCACTGAAGTTTTCCTGCTGTCATTAGATCAGGTATTATTTCTTTTACAACATTAGGGAGGTCTGCTATATCTAACAGTTTGCTTATCACTGATGATAAAGCACTTAAGCTTCCAGCTATGTCATTTTGAATATGACACATAAAGGAATCTTTTTTCTGATCGGTAGGCGAAAGAAGTGCTAAAATCTCTGGATTTAAGGTAGGTGAGTTGAAAGAGAGGCAGTTTTCAGGTGTTGGCCACTCGAGTCTTATTTTTTCTTTTTCATCGCTAGACATCCCATTGGTTGCGTAATAATTTAGCCTAGAGGCCACCTGATCACTCACTGGCTTGCCCATAACCTTAGGCATGGATGGATCAGTTCCCAGTATTTTATTTATACTATCTATTTTATCAGAGGGTATTGGAGAAAGTTCTGCTTCTCTGTGAACATCTACCTCTACGATATTACCCTGATTAACATCACTGTGAACCGAATCTGATGAGGAAACACTTATGCGGCGAATTCTCTTTCTACGGGGTTCTATATCCTGGTCACTCCCACCTAAGAAACAAGAATGCCAGTTTTTCATTTTTAATTCAATATGTCTAAATAGCGAGAAAGGCTATTCAAACTCTGCTTAGTAATTTTGCAAAGACAGCAAATTACCTCGACTCATAATGGTATGTGGGATATTTACTAAAAGCGGTAACTTACAAAAAACAGCGAGCAAGGCTGTTTTTTAGTTATACATATGTATGGCGAGTAAAGCCATTTTAGATAATAACATATTTTTATCATGATGAATCAAACGGCGAGTAAGGCCGTTTTGTACGAGAAATTAATCTTCAAGTAGTAGAATGCTAAATTTCGCCTACAAATCATTTAAAAACAAATTCATCATGTCGGTAGATGACGCCTAAGGCATTTTCACCATAACCGCGTTTCCCTGATACACAAAACAATAATAAACATCGTACTTACTTGTAGAGACGTCCTGTAGCATTTCCTCTAATTTCTTCAACTTTTCTTTAATTATAATCACACGTTTCCTATTTGACGACATTGTGAACACGCAAAAAAGGTAAACAAGAGGCGACCACACTCCTTCGCACCAAAAAGCATAATGAGATATTAGTATAGCTCAGGGTCTGGAGATGGGGATCCATGTTACTTTTCACAGGTGGCCCGCTTCGTTACCGAATCGCATTCTACAATATCTGTTCTAGTGGACCGGACTGAAGAATAATAAATGTTTATAATAGTAAAAAATACATCACAGCACTAAATTATAGTTATACATTTTATGAATTATATAAATAAACACTTATACCCTTCTCAATATACGGCTCCACATATTATAGAGATCAGACCATATGACTAGTGTATGTGCATTGAAAGATGTCTGAAATCCTCTTTAGGAATATTCAAGGCATTCCTTAGTGAAAACTCCAAAATGTAATACACAAAGTGAAATAAAAAAAATAAAGAGTATGTCCACCTAATGATTAATTGAGAGGCCTGGAAGTAAAAGGGTTTAAGTACATTTTTAGTAGTTCTGAGATAAATGGCTTCAAAGTTTACTTGAATTTGAAAATTCCAGGAATAAATTTATCAAAGTATGATACTATATTAAGTTTATTTAAATGCCAATAAAACATTACAAACAAAAAACATTTTCTTAATTTTGCTTTTTTATTGTCATTTTTGCAAAAATGTACTTGAATCATTATACATGTTACAAAAATTATGGTGGTAACATGATTCAAGTGCAACCACCGTACTAAACCAAACATTATTTAAAAATAATCTATAACAAAATTTCTTATTCATAATCAGAATCTAATATTTGGATGTCTTCATCATTTTCTTCGTCTGAAACAGCTGGTCTTGGTTGGGGTTCATTGTTTCTTTTTTCCTTTTTTTGTTAA